TTGTTTGAAAGTTACGCTTCTTGGACCAACCGTTTGTACCGCATTTCTCAAAATAATGGAGGCTATTTAAAATAATAAAAACATATACGTTTTGTAGAGAATTTCACGAGGAATCTTTCTGTAAAAAACATTTTTGTCTATGACGAATTATAGGTGAAAAAAATGCAAAATACTGAGAGGTCCATTTAGTCTGCGCCACCCGATATCATAATTCTTACCTCAGATGTATTACTCTTTGTCGTCACTATTTCAAATGGAATATTATATGTAGTTCTATTCAATAATCTATCTTCTAACCACCATTGTGCATAGACATTCATTTGTCCATTTATTCCATCTGTATCATCATCATGACATATTATCGTAGCAACGATAGTTCCTTGTTTACTGTTTTCCATAACTGATAATGATGCACTATTTTTATCAATATTACAAATGGGTGGATATTCATTACGAGAAATAATAGTAAATGTTATTGTTGCTTTTGATGATAATGGTGGTACACCTATAACAAAAAAAAATACAATTGATTGATATATTTATTGAGAATTAACTATGTTCTAACGAATAAATGAACTTCTTCATCGTATGTTTATACTTGTATGAGAAAATAGGATCATTCTAACAAAAAGGTGCTTGATCTGAATAGGAAAAATAATTAAATTTATAATACAGAAGACTTTAGGTACTATAAGAATAACCAAAAAAGCTATCACATTCAAATAGAACAAGAGAATTTCGTTAAGAGGTGTAAATTAAGTTCAAATATTTCGAACTTGAAAGATGATTATAACCTTTATCTGTTGCTTGTATTTCTAATACATAAGTATCTTTTTGTTTACGATCGAATTCAACCATTGCTCGAATAACTCCTGTTTGTGAATCAATTTGAAATAGATTATTATTTTGATTTAAAATTGAATAATTAACTTCAGCATTTTGTCCTTGATCATAATCATCCGCTTGAACATGATATATTTCATAACCATTTTGATTATTTAATTTAACATGTTCACTAATTGTTACTTGAATATCATCTTGTCGAAATATTGGTGCATTATCATTTTCATCTAAGATAGTAATATGTATATTTAAATAAGTAGATTTCGATTTTGGTTTGCCATGATCATGTGCTTCAAGTTTGAAATAATATTCTGATATATATTCTCGATCAAGTAAACGTTTTGTACGTAATTCACCTGTAGTATCTGTTAAACGTATTAATTCAAAAGGTATTAATGATGACCGATCAAGTTTCCATGTAACACGTCCATTCTCATCTGAATCTTGATCAATTATTGATAAAGATAATATTAAAGAATTTATTGGTAATAATTCACTTAAAGAAAGTTGTAAACTATTTGAATTATTTTGTATATCATTTGGATAATAATCAATTATAGGATAATTATCATTTTCATCCATTATATGAATGATTAATCTATATTAAAATAAGTTTTATATAGAAAAAAAA